CATATATATTTCAGCAAAGTTATAATTATTATTATGATATACACGTTATTTGTTGCTGTGTTGTCTTGTGTTATCTTGGTTTATATTTAACAAATCTTCTCTAATCTCTCTCAACTGAAGTGGCTTAAGAAAAAAAAGGGTAAAATGGTATTTCATAAAAAGGTTTCTTAAGTAATGAGTAAGTGATCATAACATCAGATTTAAATTTTTAAAATGTCATCAGACTGACAAAAAATAGGAAGTTATTTGCAAAATTATTTTTTAAAGACTAAAATGAAGAAAATTAATACATAACAACATAATTACAAATTAACAAATTCCAGCCGAAGAAACACTTTTCTTTTTTCAGTAGGTAATGTATATATTTATGCATATGTATATGTATATGTATGTGTATATGTATACTATATTGCCAAAAATATTTGTTCACCTATCCCAATGACTGTGCACCTGTTCACAAAGCAAGGTCCATAAAGACATGGATGGCATGGAGTGGTGTGGATGGTAAATGATAAATGGACTGAACTTATATAGCGCTTTATCAAGTCTCTCCGGACCCCAAAGCTCTTTACACTCACAGACATTCACCCATTCACACACTGATGATAAACTTGCACAGAGTCCTGACCTCAACCCGATAGAACACCTTTGGGATTAATTAGAGCAGAGACTGGGAGCCAGGCCTTCTGTCCAACATCAGTATGGGACCTCACAAATGCGCTACTGGAAAATTGGTCAAAAATTCCCATAAACACTCCTAAACCTTGTGGACAGCCTTCCCAGAAGAGTTGAAGCTATTCTAGCTGCAAAGGGTGGACCAACGTCATATTGAACCCTATAGATTAGGAATGTGATGCCACTTTAGCTCATATGTGAGTCAAGGCAGGTGAGTGAATACTTTTGGCAATATAGTTTATATGTATAGCAGAACAGGGTAAAGTACTTCCAGTGGCTAAATCTACTGTTTATATAATCATCAGCAGACAAAGCCAGTATCAGTGAAACTGACCTTTAACCCCACCATAATCATGTATGTATTTAATTGTTACATATATGGGGCGGCTGTAGAGGAATGGTTCGGAGTAATACCATAACCAAAAGGTCACCGGCTCGATCTCTCATTCTAGCCGTTTCAGTCATTGTGTCCTTGGGCAAGACACTTCACCCACCTTGCCTACTGGTGTTGGTCAGAGGGTCCAGTGGCACATGTGCATTGCAGCCCTGCCTCTGTCACTGTGCCCTAGGGCAGCTGTGGCTACAATGTAGCTTACCATCATCCGTGTGTGCATGGGTCTGTAAGTGTAAAGTGCTTTGGGGTTTGGAGGGACTTGAAAAGACGCAATGTAAGTTCAGTCCATTTACCATATATTCAGGACAGTTCAGTAAAGGATTTCAAGCTTTGGATTTGATTTTTCCAACTTTCCTGACAGGCGTATTATGAGTTGTTGAAGGTTCTTGTTACATTTTTTTGTTTTGTTTTCTCTATCACAATGGTGCCAATCCTGGACCACTGTCCTGCATGTTTTATGTGTTTCCTTGCTTTGACATACCTGATTGGAACGACGCAGTGATTAACAGGCTTCTGCAGAACATGAAGACCTGCCGAAGAGTAAAAAACCATGTAAAACATGCAAGCCCTCAAGGACTAGGATTGGACACCATTACAATTACTTTTACAACTATTACTTTTCACTAAATCACTTTTAAGGAGGGAAAAAAGACATTGTTTAAGTGAGAATTAACATGGGTTTTTTTTTGTTTGTTTGTTTGTTTATTTGTTTTTTACCAGGCACTGAGTCCATATCAGCTGCGTTTGAGTACTCGGAGTCCTGCTGCATGCTGACAGTGAGAAACCTGAGCCTCAGAGTGGTGATGGACTGGGACATACAGATGACTTAACAGTGGATGGATACATCCAGGTTTTATTTTGTTTGGATCTCTTGTTTATCACAACAACACCCTAAAAAATGTTTTGTTGGCTCAACTTTTAAAAGATTGTTGCAACAATTTCCACTCAGCTTTTTAAGTTACCAACACTGCCTATTATTAATACACGGTAAATTGCTTGAACTTTTATTGCTTTATCAAGTCCAAGGACCCCAAAGTGCTTTGCACTCCTGTCATTCACCCTTACGTTCACAACAACTGAATTAGACGGAGTGGGGTTCGAACCAGCAACCCACAGGTTACAGGACAACTCCTCTACCTCCTCTTGCTATTGTCAACCCACTTCCATCATGTACTGTGATTTTAGGTTCATCTGTCTCAACTGGTTTAGCAACCAACATAATTTAACTTGAGCATAATAAAGCTGAAGCAACCAAAATTTAATTTAGGTTTTTTTCATAATTATTAACTTGCCAAACGACATTAGTTGAGTTACTCTAACTTACTTTTTTACATACTGTATATGCTACTCACAAATATCCATGCAATTTCTTTTTAAAGTTACCAAAGTATCTTTTCATGTTGTTCAAACGTAATATGTTCTCAGTGATGACAAAAGAATTTGCTCAATGTATTCAAACATTTAAATTAAGGAGATGGTTTTTTTTTTAGTGGTGCTCTGACTTTTAAAAATAATTAGCCAACTCACTGAACCGTGTACATGTTGATAACTGAAAATTATTATTATTATTATTATTA